GTCTATGTAAATTGACTTGGGTCTGGATTGATAAGCATTGTTTGTAAATGTGTTACTTAATAATAACAACCATAATAATAAAACAACAGCAAAATAATAATAAAATTAGTAGCTTTTATACCCACATAGCACCTAGTTATATGAATCCCATTTTCAAGCGTGAAGCTTCACCACATCCCTGTATTATACCAGTTTTTCAAATGGGTAAACTGAGGCACTAAGCAGGTACGTACCATACATAGCAAGTCAGTGTCAATGTCAGGAATAGGAGCCAGGAGTGTTAATTGCCTGTTTCCTACTCCAGCCAAAGTCCACATTGCTTCCCAACTGAGTCACTACAAAAAATATGTTCTGTATTACCAACAGAAGAAAATCAGGTAAAGTCAGAAAGAAATGAATCCAACTGCTCGGTTACTCAGAAGCTCTATATATTCACTCCAGTTCAGTTCTGGTGCTTAAAACTGAGCAGGTACCCTGGTCACCCAACAAGTGGATGGCAGTACACTGCCTTTAAAAAGAAGAAAAGGAAAATGAACTTCTGACCTTTGGTGAGAGGCCGAAAAATGGAGGACTGGGTGGGGTGAATAGGAGATACAAGAGTGACTGCTCACTGGGCATGTCCATTCAATGCGGTGTCACTGAACTCAGACTGTGGTTAGGCTGGAGCATGGGAAATGACTAAAGACCAAGGAGGAAGCGGAGTTTGTGGGCCCTGAGGTAACAGCCTGACATGATCTCAGTCAGGCTCTGCATCTGACCACAGTCTGTCCTCCTCATCAGACGTTCCGGATTTGATTTTTGTTACTGACATGAGAAGAAAAAAGCCTTTACAAGTATTTTCCCAAATAGGAACCATTTTACCTAGTTCTTTGTCATCTGCATATAGGAAAGACAGACTCTGGCACTGCAGGGTTGTTGTTTTGTTTTTACCTCTACTTATGTGTGAGAGGGCACTTTGCACGAGGGAGACAAACATGCTCAATGGGGGGGCAAGCTAGTCTTCAACATTGAAGAGTGGCAGTGTTGGGTTAATTGATGAGCAAGAGCTAGACCTACACCCAGCCCTTGCAGGGCTGGGATGGCGGCACCTGTGGGAAAGCACTGGCTACCTTTGTGGAACAGCTGTAGCATAGGTGCCTCCCCTCAGTCACTACAAGCAAGATGCTTTTAAAGGCATTCTGCTTGCAGGAGCCTCTAGTGCCTCTCTTCCCCATCCCCAGGGTGACTAAGTTTAATCAAAGATACAATTTCAAGACCTTAATTTCTTATGTCAAAGGAGATTCTCTCTAAGAATGAAACTCAGCACAAGGCCTCTGCATCATGTCAGTCCCATCTATGTCTTTGTCCGAGGCCCTCTGCCTGGGGATGA